AAAAGTGTGTGTGAATATGTGTAATTGTTAAACTTGAGATATTAAACTACATTAAGTTGAGATATTAAACCCTAAAAGTTGAGATATTCAACCTCATAAATTGAATTAAAGATGCAATGAATCCATGTGGATCCGATCCGGATCGGTCTAAACTCGATCCACATTAAATCCATTCATGTAGGTTGATATTGGATCCGGTTCCTTTTGCATCCGATCCACATGGATCCGGATCGGATCCGGTCCAAGTTGAGAAATTGCCACCCCTAGGTAGGATGCATGCGAGTGTCACGTAGTTCGGTTTGATTTTTGTAAGAAGTAATTCTCTGGAGAGAGAAGGCTTCTTCGGACATATCCCTTTTTGCAAAACCGGATATAATCGAATTCCACGTAATTACGTTTTTACCCTCCACCAATCTGAAGACGACATAAGCATGCGTAAGATCTCCACACTGAGAATACAACGTAATCAGCGCATTCTTCACATTATCATATTCGATGGAAGCATTTCGAATTGCGAAACCGTGAATTACTTTCCCTGATTTCAACTCACGTATACGAGAGCAAGCACCTAATCCGATAATCACCGCCACGTGATCTAACCGAACGCCATCTGTCCTCCTCTGACGTATTATCAACTTAAGAGCCCCTACGAAGTTGCCTGTTCTCAAACAACCTCCAGCAATAATATTCCAAGTTATAATATTTAATTTCATATTGGCCACTCTCATGCTTTCGAAAAGTTCGAAAGACTGGTCCCACATACCCCTCGAGGCAAATTCCGAAATAATCGAGTTCCACGAAAATTCGTCCTTATCCGGTATTTCTTCGAAGATGCTTCGTGCAGTTTCAAGATCCCCACATTTCCCATACATAGAAACCAACGCATTCTGCACAAACAAGTCCCGTTTCAAAGAGCTAGTAGCATTGATCGACTTATGAACTTCTCTACCGAATTCAAGATTTGATTTTTCTGCACAGGCCTTGAGAACAGACGGGTAAGTGAAACGATCGGGTATAATCCGTTTACGACCCATTTCTTTGTAGGCAAAGATAGCTTCATCGTAACGCCCTTCATTCACGTACGACGAAATAAGAACATTCCAAGGCAAAGAGTGCAGAATGTTCGAATCTGCAGCTATAAAATGAGCTTCGTCGATAAAACCGAACGTTGTGTAAAACGACACTAGCTTTGGAACCAATGCTTGGCTTTTGTGAAGACCCCATGTAATAACTTGGGCATGAAGCTGTTTGCCTTGTGGAAGCAACTCGAGATTTGCACAAGACAATAACAGAGAGGATAACGAGTCTACAACGAAAACGGGATACGCAGAGGAAGCCAAGGCATGACTTTGGATAAGAGAAAATATTCTTAAGGCTTTGAACAAACGGCCATTGCAGGCGGAATCTTTCAATGTGATGGCAAGGCAATCGATCAGACAATTATCGGTTTTCTCATCGGGTAATAGTACAATCGTTTCGTTGGAAAAACAAGATTGTGGCTTGGGTTTTTTCCCCACATCCAATGGTGGTGGTTTGATGCTTTCTTTCCATTTCATAGGAATGCATCTTTCGATTTGATGAAAGGAAAGGCTTCTGGGCAGCTTACGAAATGGAGAAGGCATGCAGATTCGAAGTGGGACCCACTCCACATCTTGATGCAGCAAATGCGCGGTACCATCTGCATGACTGAACACGCATTTGACAAACACCACCAAATATGTCTTAAGTCAATAATTCTTAGCAGCTGCAAAAGCACATAAAACATAAAACATAAGATCAACTACGAATTTAGGCATCGTATAGGCTAAAGGAATGTAGCTTTTTTTTGTCACTAAATCACAACATAAAATATATATGAATCAACTGATTAACAAACATAAACCTCAAAATACGAAAACTTCAAACGTCAACAAGAACACTAACGATTTGTCTCAATTTTATTCTACTAACGAATGCTGAATACACATCTGAACTGTTAAGAGTATTGTTTGAATGCTGAATACTGAATATATAAGTTTGTTTGGTAACTCCAATTATGGCTGGGACTGGGTTGGTTTTTATCCACCAACCGACCCATTACCGACTATATTTTTAGACGGATAATCAATTTTTAACCGACCCATTGGATCGGGTAGAAAATTTTAACCAACCCATCTATAATGGGTCGGTTGGTGGTTTCTAATATTATCAAAAGTTGGTTGACCGATAATTATCGGTTATCCAACTATACTATTAAAATTTTATTAAAAATATAAAATAAAGGCCGTGTTTTCTTAAGTGGTTATTGAAATTATCAAAATAATTAGTATTTAAATTTTAAAACAATCAACAAAGGAAAAAAATTGACTTAAATCTTCAACGAGTTTCTTTATGCCCAACCTTAAACAAAAAGCCGTAAAACTCCACTAAATCTTTGTGCATGTTTGAAATTACTTTGAATTTCCTAATTATACTTTTTCGTTAAATTGTTATTAATTATTTTGAACTGATAAATGTTGATGGCACCGTGCCATTAAGCAAAATGTGGATATTTTTACTCCAAAATTTGATTTTTTTTTTAAATGAACTAGGTGGCGGGTATAAACCATCAACCGACCCATTCGGAACCATATATTTGGTTGACAACCATCAACCGGCCCACAAAGGTTGGGTCGGCAACGGTTTTCAAATTTGAGCAAAAATGGTTTGATGGATGGGTCGGTTTTCAGGCTGGTAATCGACCGACCCAACCCAGTCCCAGCCCTAACTCCAATGCCTATCATAACTGAATGATGTACTTTTACTATATTAACCCTCATAATTTTTAACAAATAAAATTAACTACTAACTGAATTGTAATGAAAAAATACTAAAAAAAAATCGTGACACTCATAAATATTAGATTATGATACTCTTTTAATGAAAATAAGTACAATTTAGAAAAATCTAATCCATTTTTTTAACAAATAATATATAAAAATAAATTTCGTTAACATTATTTATTTCATATTACTATGCCATAAAATGAGAAGAAAATATATGTGTATTTCGATTTTAGAAATACTTGTGCAATGTTGGGTTGTCTTACAATATATATATATATATATATATATATATATATATATATATATATATATATATATATATATATATATATATATAGACACACCTCAAAAAGTTAATAAAAAAAAAATACATCGCTTTCTTAGGCCCTAACAAGGAAAGAACACACATGTACAAGATAATGAGTACATACCATTACCCAATACCATTAAATATAAAATAATTATAAATATTTCTCTCTTCCATAGGGACAAAATTTGTCCAAATCCTTTCTTTATAACATCTGAATGGGTAAGTGCAAATAATCCAACTTAATCGGTAAGAGAGAAACGTCTTCATTCAGATG